GTAAATCAAAAGTCTAGGAATTGAATTTTCTTCTGGAGTAAACATGAAAGTTCCTTGGACATCATCGAGTCGACAAAAGGAAAATCTAAATAATTTAAAAGCAATTAAATATAGGTGCGACGAATTACTTTGCAGTAGGGTTTTTGAAAATGAAGATGATCTTCTAAACCACCTTAAATTTCAAAATCATAAATTTCCTGAAATTAGACAAACTATAGGTTAGGGTGAGCCAAAAAAACTAACCTATCGGATTTATGGGTTAAAATGAACCTACATACCGAGCAAAAAATTTCCCTGCAAGGCAAAATGTTTTGCTCAATTTTAAAAGGTGTCGGTGAGCATTCTAAGTTTTCCATTGAAATAACACGTAAAAAAATCTTTTTTCATTAAAAAGACTATAACTTTTGAAACGTTTGAGATAAAATTTTTTACGTGGCGGATTCTTGTAGAGCATAAAATTTCCCAAAGAATCTATACCAGGATTATTTTTTTAATTCAAAAATTCGTATGTTTGAAAGCTTTGAAAAGTGTAAAAAATCACTAAAACTGCAGCTCATTAAAACCGAAGCAGCACATTTCACTCGTCCTGCGGACTCGTGAAATCTGCAGCTCGGTTTCAATTCGAAAATATCATCGATGATAATCATACCACTTGTTATATTATGGGTGAATATATAGCAACAGCTTTACAACATTATGAAGTAAATGGCAAATTTTAGTTTTCTTCAAACGAGTATATGCATCCTAATCAGATACGCGGCTTATTATCAAGATTATCGTCAGATAGAAGGTTAAGCAAAAATAAAAAAAGAAAATTAAAAAATTTTCCTGAAGAAATTGAAGAAATTAGCACAGAAGCGGATGAAGTTTTTTTGAAGTTTTATCAGTTTTAAAGTAGTTCCTTTGCGGCCTAATCTAGAGATTTGAGCCAGCCAGTATGATATAAACCAGGGTTATTTATAACTAAAAAGTTAGAGAATATACCCCTTAGAGCCCAACAAGTTTAAAATTTAATGTAAAGGTAATAATTATTATTATTATAATAATTATTAGGATATATCTTTATTATTTAATATATGCAAATCTTGCAGATAAATTGTTATATGTTAAATAATAAAGAAATAGTAATATCAATAATAATAATAAAGAAAAACATAATAAATAAAATAAAGAACAAACCTATTAAATAAATAAAGGAATACGTAACTCTTTATAATAAAGGAATACATAACTATATTATCTGAAATGCTATATAGTTATTAAAGAAAAAAGGCTGCAGCGCCCCCTGGGTGTGAAAAAATAAAACTTTTTTTTGCTGTGTTATTGTTACCAATAAAAGTAATCTCCTGGAATTCCTTAGTTAATAAATATGAATAAAGTTGTAAGTGTAATTCAATTTTTTTTAATGCGGTAAACAAAACTTTAAGTTGGCTTTACGGGCGGCAACATCATTTGCAAGTAAATTTTTATATATCAAATTATAAAGGAATATGTATATTATCTGGTATACTATTTAGTTTTTTTGAGCATTGTTGCTTAAGAGAGTTTTTGGTCTTCAAAAAACGTCTATTTTTGAAGAAGAAAAAATTGCAGCGCCACCTACATGTAAAAAATTTAATTTATTTTTTGGTAGAATTGTAGGTACTAATAAGGGTCATTTATGGACCACATCTCAAAACATTCAGTATTTTAATATAAAAATTATGCGAATATAATGAAATTATGGCTTTTTGCGAAAGGTAAAATTAAATGGTCTCTGGGAGCCAAAGTTTAGGTCAGATAAAAGAAAAATTTTAGATTTAGGGTGGAATTAGATGTATAAACACAATATTAAAATATAAAAAAAATCTGAGATGTGTTATAAAAAAATACCCCAAAATCGTTCGATTCTTTCGCGAAATCATACTTTGCGTTCGCCGTACAAAATAATTTTTTTAATATTTTTTAATTGGTATATTAATTGATGTTCCATGATAAAATTTTATTGTTTTATTGGGTTTGTAAGTTTTTTTTATATGATTTCATTGATTTCTATTTTCCAAAAGAAGAAAAATCTAAAACTGGATAAAATGTCTTCAAGCACGATATTTTTGTCAAAATTTTATAAAAAATACAAATTAAATAGAAAATAAAAAAGTATCTCATTAATAAAAAATTGGTCATAAACTATAGTTATATACACATATACTTAAATACAAATTTGGTATTAAATAACCCATTAGGAACCAGTGACGTGCCCGTGAGGGGGGGTTCAAACACCCCGCAAGGCTTATAATTTCCAAACTAAAATAGTGAAGAAATATATTTTTTAATTACAAATTTATTCTTCCCTCCTCTCCTTCCATACGCTTAACTCCCCCCAGACAAAATTTCTGGGCACGCCACTGTTAGGAACTAACAATTAATTTATTGATATTCCTCTTTCATAGTAATATCCGCATATGAATTAAGCATACCACTTAACGGTATCAAGGCTCCTAGACAAAGAACTAAACAGTAGACAAAAACAATCGGGTCTATTAATTGTATCAAAAACTTAACCTAAATATCAATCGTGGCCACATTTAAATCCTTTAAAAGCACCCAGCCATAAATTGAATTATTTCCATTTAAAATCAGTAAAAGTTTTGTTTTGAAAATAAACCATAAAAGATAATATAAACAGTCGAATCTAAACGGTTTTTTTTTTACAGTTAAACAATCTGATGGGCCAAGATGAATATTTAAAAAAGTAATTCGAGTTAATTTTGTTACTGGAGCACAGTATCAAGATCATTTATTATATTGTTGAGTGAAATATATTAAGTTTTATTTGATGTTATGATTTAATTTTAATGGGTTCAGACTATTCGTACCGTTACAATGAAGATTTGTTATTTATAACTAAATTTATTTCCAGATTTGTATTGTGTCTCTCAGCCCCTCAGCCCAATAAGCAAACTTAATTACTTATGGTAACGAAAAGTTATATAAAGTAGTCTTTTAAGAAGGTTATATAACATCACCATTTAGTTTACGAGTTTTCTAATGGTCATTTAACCTCAATTTATATAATTAGGTTATATAATTATCTCCACAAACATTTTATATAATCTAAAGTAACCGTTACTAGTAGTTTTATATAAGTTTTTTAAAGGTTTTATAAAATTTGCAGTTACCTGTTCTATAAAACTTTAAATCTTTATTTTTGTAAGGTAATAAAAGATCTTAAGAAATTAAAAAAAATAAGCATACTGTCAACTTTCGACGAAAATTAGTTTATAATTATAAGATTTGATAATTATAATAAAATTAATTACTTATAAATAGGGTTTTAAAATTTCCAGAAAAATTAAGATGGCGGAAAAAACAGTTTCTTTCGAAAAAAAAAAACAAATAAATTTGGAAATTGGCAAAAAAATTGCTTTTTTCATTTTATTTAAAATGCAAAAGTCAAATTTTCGGAAAATTTTACGGATGATATCTGTACACTGATATCGAGAAAAAAGTGAATTTTCTACGCTGATTATAATCATAATATTGTGATTTGAATTATTTTGAATTATTCCTTTTATTTTAATTCGGCCGCAAAAAAACTTTCGTTTTGTTCACAAAAAAGACAATTTTTCCTGAAAAAAAACCGAAGTTATATAAAGGTTATATAAAGTAGTCAACGTATATTCTTATATAAGAAGGTTTTATAACATTACCATTTAGTTTACGAGTTTTATAATGGTCATATAAGGTAACTGTAACCACTATTTATATAATTGTTTCAACAAACATTTTATATAATCTATAGTAACGGTTACCAGTAGGTTTATATAGTTTTATCTGTTTTATATAACTTTAAATCTTTATTTTTTGTGATATATTAAATATTTATAAATATATTTGCTAAATAAAAAAATCTTATGTACTTAAAAAAAAATAAGCATACTGTCAACTTAAACTCTTATATACATTGTAGTAACTGTAGTTACTACGCGTGATGCTATAAAACTTTTGATAGGCAACCATCTAACTGCTCAGGTTAGTGTTGTCACGTAACGTGACTCACGTTCGCCAGTTTTGCCAAATTCGATTTAAATAAAAATATTTATGTTAATAATATTATATTACTTACCTATATATTATATGCTAAATATTTTCTTTTCAAACAACTTTTAATTAAAATTATGAAAAAGCATTGCGTCAAAAGCTAATACCATTACTCAATGCTAATTAGTATTAATACTATGCTTAATTTCTGTTTCAATTACTAAACATTTTTGGTTTATTAAGCACAAATAATTGATAACTCAACAAAACAGGTAACCGCAAACTTTATAAAACTCCTTTATAAACCTACTGGTAACGGTTACTAAAGGTTATATAAAATGTTTGTAGAAACAATTATATAACCTAATTATATACCTAGAGTTTATACTCTTATATAACCTTTATATAATTAATCGTTACCATAAGTAGTACAAATTGTTTATTGGGAAATGAGGTATCACAGCCTCCCTTTCCATTTGAAAATTATATAATGTATAGTATACATTGTATACTTAATAGGGATATAAATATTTCTGTAACAAAATTAAGAAATTTAATTTTTATAAAAACACAAATAGTTATTATATACAGAGTGTTTTGCTTAAAGGTGTTTTGATTTATTGCAAGGGGAAAATGCAAGATTGATATAAAAGGTAATTTTTCTATAAATGGTTTAAAATGTACTTTATTTGTGATAATAAATTAAAATAACAGATTCATGAGTAAAATAACATAACATTTAGCTAAGATATTAATTTATATCTTAATTTTCGGTCAAAATATAAATACATATACAGTAAAAAAACTTAATAACATTTTGGAAAACTACGGTTCATTAACTACTTACCTTAATCACATGTATTTATTAGTAATTACGATAATTTTCCTTAGTTAAATACTTTCTTTGTAGAAATCAGTCTTAATCAATAATTCTTAAAATTATTTACAAAAAATTAACCTATAGGTTGCTACGAATTGTTTCATAGGGCACTGCAGTTCCATTTTCTAATAGAATCGATGACGTAGTTCAATTGTCCCTGCCATTTGTGGAACTCATCGGCATTATCGCATGATAGCAAGTGATTTGTGATGATGTCCTTGTTTTTCGTTTGTATTTGCAAGGTTTTTTGTCTCGGACAAATCATTCTGTCGGCTTGCCCAATAGTTTTCGAAATGCAGTATTGGAAGTCGATGATACCCATTGGGGCCTTGGTGAGTTCCTCTGAAGGGTAGTTCCAGTATTTAAGTCTGCATCCTAGAAGAAAATGTTTTAGTAGAGTTGAGCCCGTTCTCTTGTATAGTTTTGGTATCGGGTCAGTAGTTCCATACTGGCGATTTTATGAGAAAGATAGAAATCGAAAAGATAAGTCCAGTTTGATTTATTTTACGTACAGATTATACTTAAAGGAAAAAATAAGCTGCTGTTGATAAAAATCCATGGATAAATGGGGAAGTTATGAATTTTTCAGTGGAATGCCAAAATTCAGTTTTTCGAGAATCTTTACATTTTTCTTCATTTTATTGAATTATATAAAATTTAATATTGAACATTGATTTTTATTTTAAACATTAAATATTGAAATTAAATTATATATTAAATAATAAATATTGAACATTGAAGACATTGAAAGTTCTATTTTATTTAAATAAGCATATGTTTAAAAAAATTCTGGCTCCTTTTTTGTTTTTTGTTGCTTTCGTATTCCGAAAAAAGTACGTAAAAACTCAAATAATTCCAATCATGCACTTTACTTAGGTTTTCATTAAAGAATAAACATATTACAAAATAAAACAACAAAATAGAATAAAAATGGTCAAAAAGCTGAATTTTGGTCTTCCACTAAAAAATTCATAACTTCGCCATTTTCCATGTATTCCTATCAACATTACATTGTTTTTTTTTTTTGTTAAAATGTCAGTTTCACGAAAAAAAATTCAAACTGGAGTTATCTGTTTGATTTAAACCATTACCAGGACGATATGTAAATTTTCGACCTCAATTTTTGTCATAAAAACGATTTTTTTAAGTTATTAAAATCACTAGCGTCAAAATACTTATCCGATATCAAAAGTATGTAAAAGAAAGTTTTAGAGGGCTTAAATACCTTCAATTTAAGGGCTTGTTTGACCAAATCGATCAATTAGATTTCAAGCTATACTCAAAAACGTCAAAACACCTCAGAAAATTAAAAAAAACAATTGAAAATTCATATTTTAAAAACGCTTCTATAAAAAAAATTTGAGTGTGATTTTCGTGTTTAGTGGGTCAAAATACATGAAAAAATTATATGGTGGGCAGAATTTTTTTTCGATTTTGTAAACTAGTGTAATTGGAGCTTGGGCTTGCTATAATTGGTGGTTTTATATTACATGACCGAAGATGTGGTGGTTGGCAGTTTGTGTTGCAGTGTTATTTAAAAATGTTGTCTGATCTTTTATAGTTTTTGTCTCAATAAGTAATTTTTTTTTGTAATTTATAGTGGAAATTTATTCGTATTTAGACAAAATTAACCTCATGTAGCCTCACCCTACTATACACCCACGAGCCGCCACTGGTTCATGATGGGTTAATTAAAAAAGATGAAGCAACAAAGCAAAGCGATATGCGTGTTAATAAGTTTGTGTTATTGGAAATTTTTAAGAACAGGTTATAATTAAGTCATCTACCTTTGGTGCAAGTCATTAATTTAATATATGGACCATTCACGTGTTTAATTTACATAATTTTATTTAATGACAATATTTCCATATCGGTAAAAAACCTGTGCGTGTGCTTATGTACCAGTCTAAACACAATTTTGAAAAATAATATTTCTTTTTCCGATGCCTGAAACTGAAAAAGTACAATTAAAAAAATCCTTTATAACTTTTTTAATATCGCAGCTATCAATTTAAAACTTGGAAGAAATGACACGTCTGATTACATCATTTGTTTTTTTCTACGTTTTTAAGATATCATGGCCAATCTATGGGCGCCATATTATATTTCTTCATAAAAAAATAGGACAAATTTTTCTTTTTACAACGATGTAACACACTTGTATCATTTTTGTTTGATTATCATTACAAAAAAATAAAGGAAAAAATTTTACTGAAAAAATCAAGTTAGTGTTGTTGAGCAAGCACTTGAAAAAAGGAGTAATTTATTAATAGTAATAATCAAATGTTTGCATGTGTCACAAAATCTAGACATCTACAAAAATATTCGATTAAAATAATTCTATCCGCATTTTTCAAGCAACAACTGTTTTTGCTGTTGCTTGTTTTGTGCTTTATTTTGTTGTTGTTTGTTGCTGTTTTGACATATTTAAGTTTTTTATCTGTAGTGACAAACACAAATTTTTCGTATATTGTCTTAAAGTGTCGGAAAAAAACGGAAAAACTGAAGAAAAAAACTGTTTTTTTTTTTGTTTTTTTTTTCCAGGCCTTAAAAAATTTTTTTTTTTTGGGAAAAATTGATTTTTTTTTTGGAAATATACCTCCACATTTGAAAAAAGTGGCAATTAACAACTTAACATTATTTTAATAAAAAAAAATATACCTAACTAAACATTGAATTAAATAAAATTGATTTAAGAAAATAAAAGTAAACATTAAATTTACTGTCGGTTGGGTCTTTTTTTGCAAAACGGAGTCAATTGAAAATATCCAATTACAAAAAAATGAATGATTTATTATAAGGGTGAATCTCACGAAATGTCCCCCGATGATGTTTAATAAAATTATATGAGTTTAACCTTTATTGCGTTTTGATCTTTCATATATGATCATATAGTAGATCACAGCTCAGGTTCCAGATTTTTAACCGCAATTAATTATTTTTCACAATGTTTTAAAAGTATAAAACCTATCCTCCGTGACTGTTACTCTTTCTAGGTTAACCTATATGTTTTCAAATATCTGAGGTAGTAAAAGCATAATAAAAATATCAGTTAAATTAAACAAATCCAAAGCAATCGAATAAAATATTATTAAAAATTAAAAGAAATAATTTTTAAAACCATTTATGTAGGGGTTACAAAAATTGATTCTATCCTCCGTCAATCTGTTTTTGCTTTACATTTTATGCAACGTATAGCGCTTTAATCATTTTAAATAAGCAAAAACCTGAGATGAGAGTGTTGCTGTTTTATAATTCAAAAGTTTAAGTTCATTAATTTGCTATTTAAAAACCTATCCACTAGACCTGGTGGCTTCCCAAAAACCCCATTCTAGACTGACAGTGAAACAACCAAAAATAAAAAATATTCATTTTCACTTGAGAAACATCTCAATATATTCTCCCATAAAGTTAAATTACAAAATTATAATTGAATTGAAGTGTCAAATAAAACAAAAGTTATTTTAATACAGCACCATGGTGCAGGTAAAATTTTAATATTGTAACTGAAATAAAATAAAAGGAATTATCATAATATTATGATTATATTTAGCGTCCAAAATTTAATTTTTTCTCGATATCAGTGTACGGAAAATATCGGTAAAAATTTGTAAATTTTTAGAAATATTGACTATTGATTTTTTCGTATTACCCTTTGAAAAAAATGCAAAAGTCAATTTTTTCCGGAAATAAACCGCTCAATTTTTTTTGAAATTTTAAAACCCTGCGTAGGTATTTAAAAGAGCAAGGCAACTTTATTCACTTTTATAATAATTTTTCAATAATAATCAAACAAAAATTTCCTATTTAGTAAAACCAATATGGTGCCCAAAATAAAAATTAAAGTTGGCCATGATATCTCAATAACATCTCATTTGTTTTGAGATGTTATTGAGATATCATGGCCAACTTTAATTATTCTTATGGGCACCATATTGTTTTTTTTAACATGTCATTGCAAAGACTTTCAAAAAATCAAATTTTAAATTGATAGCTGCAATAGTAAAAAAGTTTTTTTTAGTTTCTTCAGGACATTTGATAATCGTTTAAAGATATCCTAGATTTCTTGACATATTTAAAATGTTCATAAAATAGCGCAACTTTTTTGTAATTTAACCATCTTACGGTTCTCTAACGGTTCATGAGATACGACCCTGAAGAAGACGTATTTCCTTCATGTAGGAAATTTTATTCTATACAAAAAAGGTTTTCATGACTTTTTCGTAAAACCATCCATTTAAATAATATTGAATAATTAAAATAAATAGAAACATTTTTTTATGAATTTATTTGTCTTTTTGGGTAGGTACCATCTTAATTATTTGTTTACAGTTACAAAAAAAGAAACTTTCTTAGTAATAGACATTTCACAATACACAAGACAATTTTTTGTAAAAAATGTTACGCTCTACAAAAAATGTTACTACGTTTTTAGATTTTTTTAAATAACTTGTTTTTTTTTCAATTTTTAAATTTCATAGCCTTGTAATTACGTAACTTTTCTCAAATTTAAAAAATATACCCATACTTGCTACACCCTGTAGGTATATTTTATTATAAAAACATACTAGAAAAATATAACAGGAAAAACAAGTATTCATCATATATATATAACTATCGATATTAGTACTAAGGTAAATTAGGAACTGTGTTAATAAAGCACTAAGCACTACTAATTATTAATGAAAGCAATTCTACTTTTTACAATTAGTGATGTCACTAATTTGCTAACTACGTAAACTTATACGTACCGATTTTATCATTCAGTCGAGCGTTAAATACTATGGAAATAAAATGGTTTTATAAAAAAGAATAATCAATTGTTAGTTTTTTGTTTTTTAAATAAAAAATAATTCTAGAAATGATTTTAGATCAATCTAAATCTTCTTATCCAAAAAATCACCATTTGACATTGCTATAGCAATCACTATAGTGATCAATAGACTGGGCCAAAAAAATCAACTATTTTTTTTTTGAAAAGCATATCGAAAATATGGTTTGGGGTGATACAAAAAATTATGGTGAAAGTTTGAGTCCATAATATTAATATTTAGAGGTCTATCATCGCAATTTTAGATTTTTTTTTCCTGAGCGAGTTTTTGTCTCAGAACTCCCAAACCATTAAGTTTAACAAAATTGACTTGGAAATATTTTTTGAAGAAAATTGAATGCTCTACAAAAAAGGTTTTATTGGAATTTCCCGTCAGATGAACCGTTTTCTTACAATCATGCCTTAAAAATTGGTATAGTTTTACAATTTGATCTTTTAACTTTGGAATTTTGTAATTCATGTAAAAATCAGTACCCGGAAAAACACCGATAAATATTCTTATGGAAAAACAAATGCTCTACAAAAAAGTCTCCTAACATTTTTGGCTAAATTCACTCCATCAAAAGTTATTCAAGGTTAAATTTGAAGTCAAAACGAAATTCTTGTTTTTTCCGCTCTAAATTTTATTTGGGTCAGTTAAAAACTTGAATTCTTTTATCGATGATAATCTTTATGTTATTGATAAAATTACTGAAAATTTAAAAAAAATTATAAAGAAAAAAATCAAATTATCATCCATAAAAAAATAAATCTACAGAGGAAAAAACAAGAATTTCGTTTCGACTTTAACTTTAACCTTAAATAACTTTTGATTGAGTGAATTTAGCCAAAATGTTATGAGACTTTTTTTGTAAAGCATTTGATTTCCCATAGGAATACACGGTTTTCTTCTGGGTACTGATTTTTACATGAACTACAAAATTCCAAAGTTAAAAGATCAAAATGTAAAACTATACCAATATTTAAGGTAGTTGTCGTGCTGTAATCATACCATCAGAAAATTTTAAATTTTTGTATACTTATTAAGGACATGACAATACATATATCCTTAAAATTTGAAGTCGATTGACCGTCTATAACCCGAGATAAATTCAATTAAAAATTGGATAATTAACATGGATTGTATAGGCTTTCTGTAGTTCTGTACCAGTTTCTTAGTTATACAGAAAAAACTAACTGTCAGAAGCTTTCAAAAAACTAACAGTGTTTTAATGTATTTTTGCTGAGTTTAAAAAAAAATAATTAAAAATTTTTGACCGTCCAATTGTTTATAAATAACCGTTTAAAGTTCAACAATTTGTAAAAAGTATACATCACTAGTGTCAGATAAAAGCAACTTGGCAACGCTGTACGCGGGTATAGATATTATTTCCGCAGTAAATTCAAACGGACTGATTCAGTCTCCAATATATCTATTGGTTGAGCATAAGCGACGTTGCCGGATTAAAACTTATGAAAATATTTGAAAGTATTACGTAAAGGTGACGTCTCCAGGGTACAGTCTTGCGAACAAATTATGAATCACTTAGCTACAAGCTCGTATACTTTTACGGTGCGTATAATCTAAAAAATTTTGACAATATTGTACCACGACAACTACCTTAAGGCATGATCTTAAGGAAACGGTTCATCTGACCGAAAATTTCATTTTAACTTTTTTTGTAGAGCATTTAATTTCCTTAGAAAAATATCTGAGTCAATTTTGTTAAACTCAATGGTTCTGAGACAAAGACTTAAAATTGCGATTATAGAACTCTTATAATATTAATATTATGGACTCAAACTTTCACAATAATTTTTTTTTGTCACCCCAAACCATATTTTCGATATACTTATAAAAAAAATGGTTGATTTTTTGGCCCAGTCTATAGACTATAGCTAATGATCAACCATAAGTTTATTCCTTCTAGATTAACATAAAATGTCAAAGAGAAACCTTTTTTGAATAAAACATTTTCAATCTAAAATCAACTCCAGAATTTGCTGTTTGTCGGTATAGTTCCGGATACTGACCTTCCAGGGAACACCACCGCCTACTCCAAATAATCCCGTTACCATCGTAGTTGGCGATCGTCAAAAATCCGGAAACGTCGCTTTTCAAATTCACCTCGCTTTCCACTTCCATGAAAACACTGTCGTCCAGCTGGGAAAACCTGGACATCGAAGTCATCTTGTAGCATTCATCTTGTATATTTTGTTTATCGACCGTCATTTGACACCACAACACAAAGGAGGTTTGAAGGACTTCATCGTCGACGTTGGTAACGTTTTTGTGGCAATGATTTTTCGCCATTTGGAAGAGTTTTATCGGGGAAGCAAAACTTTTCTACAAAGTATTAAAAAAAGAATATGATTCAAACCCATCTTTGCTTAGCATTGCGTGATTTTAGGAATTGTCAACAATACATTTAAAGCACAGATTATACATCATTTTTAAATATATAGGTAGTTTTTTTTACAAAAGAGAGGAAGGCAGAAGTCTTACTCGACAAATTTTGTTTAATTGCACAGCTAACCCTGATAGCACACTTTATTCTAAGAATGTTTTTTGAACCTTCTAGTTAAAATATTCTTAGGATCATGCTATATTTCTTCTAAAAAACATGCTTAAAAGACATATATGTCTATATATAGTATGATCCTAAGAATATTCTTACTGCAGCAGGCCATGGCCTATAGGCAGGTTCTTAGAAGGTGCAAAGTTTTAGTGGTAAAAATTAGTCCACTCTAAACATATGCTTAGAATGTTAAGAAAGTAATTGCTATAGAAAGTTAATTTAGGAATATTTCTGGTAAGCATATTTAGTTCAGTTACCTATATAATAGTAAAATATACCATAAACTACGTATAAAGGTATATACCTGTACTTAAGTACCTAATTAGTAATTAGTATTAAATACTAAGTAAAAAACACAATCCAAAATATTTTTTTATATTTATTTGTCAAATTAAAACAATATTCGATAACAAAAATACTTTTACTATAGGTATTTTATTTTATGTTAAAAATAAATATTTATTAATTTGTATACCGATTTTTTATTTCTGAATTAACATTTTTATGTATGATAATGCTTACTATCTTCAACTTTAATCTAATCTGACTTATCCCACAAAATTTTCCAATTTTACTTTTTATGAAATAATGTCATACAACTTATGGTTTAGAGGTCAAATTGTTTATTTAATATTTTTAAATAAATATATACGAGCCCTAACCACATAATGTTCGGACACTTCATAATTTATACAGAAATTTTTTTCGTGAATACTATCTCAAAATTATTAGAAGTTATGAAAAATTCAGCTTATTTTGGCATATACCCCTCGAAGCGATTTTTATATTTTAAAAAGTTTACCCTTTATTTTTAGCTTTTAAAAAAAGGCTAACTTTTTAACTTTTTTTTGTATGAGTAAAAAAAGTTATAAATGGACCCATTAAAAAGAGCATAAAATATTATACAAACCCTGAAAATTTGGTAAAAAATAAATAAGTTATAAAAAAGTATAAGTAATTTAAAAATGCTATTTTTAAAGAGTTTTTGCAATTTTCTTAGGAAACGGGAGATTTTGCAGATATATATATCGCTATAACTTTCTTATTAATAATAATAATGCTTTATTGAACTAAAACCAAGTTCAAAGGCTATTGACCGTAGTCCTTCAGCCGACTTTCTTATTATTTATACAATTTTTACCAAATTTTCAGGGTTTGTATAATATTTTATGTTCTTTTTAATGGGCCCATTTATAACTTTTTTTACTCATGCAAAAAAAAGTTAAAAAGTTAGCCTTTTTTTAAAATTTAAAAATAAAAGGTAAACTTTTTAAAAATAAAAATCGCTTCGAGGGGTATATGCCAAAATAAGCTGAATTTTTCATAACTTCTAATAATTTTGAGATAGTATTCACGAAAAAAATTTCTGTATAAATTATGAAGTGTCCGAACATTATGTGGTTAGGGCTCGTATTATGTCGCAAAATTTTTTAATGGGACGACAAATACATTTTACTGTAATATTATGACAGTGAGGCGTATTTGTCGTCTCCTGAAGAATTTTACGAATATAGAATACAACATATTAGAACTTGGGTATCTGACATATTTGGGAATATTCTCAAAAGCTTCCTAGAAGCTCCATAAGAAACCTTCTAAGAACATTCCAAAAACATATTCTTAAAATATTCTTGGGATGCTTTTTAAGAAGGTTTTAAGAAGCTTTTAAGAATCTAATTGCATCATTAAAAGGGTATCTATTGAATGTTTTAAAAGTCCCTAAGAACATTTTTAGCAATAAGGGAAGCTTCTAAGAATATTCCATTATTCCGGGTCATATCTTCTTAGAAGATTCTTAAAATCAAATTTAGCTATCAGGGTTATGTTTAGAGTAAACTAATTTTTACCACTAAAACTTTGCACCTTCTAAGAACCTGCCTAAAGGCCAGTAAGAATATTCTTAGGATCATGCTATATGTCTTTTAAGCATGTTCTTTAGAAGAAATATAGCATGATCCTAAGAATATTCTTACTGGGAGGTTTAAAAAACTGTGTGTGTATTTTATCTAAGGGATCATGGTGAATTATTGTGTTTTTAATTGTAAATACAATTCAAGAACTAAATCGTTGCATTTTCATGTTTTGCCAAAGGATGCAAGTACATTTGTTGGTGCAGAATTAACTAATGATAACTTTACCTAATATAATTTATATTTAAGTTTTGACATTTTTAAGAAATTATTAAAAAATAATTTGTGCACAAACATAACCTTAAAATCAACCATTTTTAAATTTGAGTTCTCTAAAAAAACGCCGACAACTGCATTTTAAACCACAAAATGTACCTACGAATTCATGGAAACATAATATTAAATATAATACCTACATATAAGTATGTAAAATACCATTATATTATAATATAATGGTATTTGGTTCTGTGGGGACTTTAAAGAATTCTTAATCAACGCTTTTAATAATGCTAAATGCTGTTTAAATTTAGACCACTTATTTGTTTGACGATTATTACTGAATTTTTCACGTTAATCATTACTAAAATGTGTATTTGTTGTATCTAATAGATACAATTTATATTTACAGGGACTGTATGAAATTTATTTCTTCATTCAGATTAACACTGTTTATTGGAAAACCGGTAAAAACTCAACCCAGGATTTCCTCTCGAAATACACCCAACAACACAACAAATCGTGCCTCGGTTTTTTTCCGATATTTTTTAACATTTTCCGGCTTTATTCTCAAAAGTTGTACTTTTGTTACGATGATAACAGCCGAGTGGTGGCGCTACTAGCGATACTTCTTTAGCGTATTGTGGTTAAAACACAAAGGGAAAAACAATAACTAACCTTGGTTTTTTTGACAGTTGGTTTCTTATTGTTTACTTGTAGAGCATAAATAGAGACGGTGAGTTCAAAATATCTGTTCAGTTTCCTGAACAAAAAGTCTATGGGGATTTTCAGAGACCCTTCCTTTGCTTTAATAACTGGACTTGCAATTACTTTGGTTCCACAGGTAGCCAGGCATACAAAATACGTTGATACATCTTTGATAGTGTCTTCCATATGGGTGTATTTATATGGTATGGTGATGTTTGATATTTTGATGAAACAATTCGTTGAATCCTGTGATTCCAACTCGTGGTGATCTTTGTTTTTTAATTCTTTTAGAAGAATATCTTTGGTGCAACCTTAAATAAAACATGTACAAAAATACCATACAAGAACATTTTCTCAAATTTCTTACTTGCTATAAGTAACAGTCGTTCAGCTTCGACTTGCTCCAGTCCAAATGTGAACTTTTTGTTACGGTTGCAAAAATTGATGGCCTTGGAGGTTTGGAAGATAAATTCTTCTTGGATCGAGACTTCTCTGTGGATATCTTCGGTGCTTCCTTTGGAAAGAAGATCGGATAAATCGTCCGTATTAATGCTGCGTTCTTCCACGCTTTTTTCTTCTGTTATTATAAAGTGTAAGGGATTGTTCTAGGAAAAATAAAAAACGTTAATGAATTTCAAGATTTAAAAAATAATCAGGAATGGATATGCGTATGGAAATAATAAGAAAGGAAAAAGAAAAAATATATTGAAGAAGATTTGTTCTACTCTTTAGCAATAACCCTGATAGCAAAATTTGATTCTAAGAATCTTCTAAGAAGATATGACCCGGAATAATGGAATATTCTTAGAACCTTCCCTTATTGCTAAGAATGTTCTTAGGGACTTTTAAAACATTCAATAGATACCCTTTTAATGATGCAATTAGATTCTTAGAAGCTTCTTAAAACCTTCCTAAAAAGCATTCTAAGAACATTTTAAGAATACGTTTTTGGAATGTTCTTAGAAGGTTTCTTATGGAGCTTCTAGGAAGCTTTTGAGAATATTTCCAAATATGTCAGATATCCACTTTCTAATATGTTGGATTCTACATTCGTAAAATTCTTCAGGAGGCGACAAATACGCCTCACTGTCATAATATGACAGTGAAATGTATTTGTCGTCCCTTTAAAAAATGTTGCGACATATTAATATACAGGGTGTTTCATAATATATGCGCAGGACTTCAGGATGTGATAGCTCATCCAAAAAGATGAAAAAAGTCGCTATTAACTTACCCTCTAAAATGCACAATTTTCGAGATACAGGGTGTTGAAATTTTAGAAAAAAAATCGTTTTTTTTTATTATCTCTGGAACCGTTTGTCGTACAAAAAACAGCTTTTGTAAGCATTTTCTACTCATAATAAGCTATGTTTTGTGCCAGAAAAAAATTTTTTTTTCTCATAATTGGTGGAGATTTTGAAGGGGTAGCGGGTGTTTTTCTCCTCAACTTCAACGCCCCTGAAAAAAGTACGGTTTTGAGAGGCTCATTCGAACCGCCAATGTTTTCTACACAAAAAAGGTACTCTTGGTCATAAGCTCTAAAGTTGACCGTTTTCGAGAAAAATCAACTTTTATATTTAAAAACATGTTCAATTTTTTGAAAAAAAAATTTTATTACTAATTAAACAAAATTTATTTTAACGTTAGAAAAAGTAACAAAACCAAACGATAATTGAAAAATTAAAAAAAAATAAAAAATGATTTTTTACACAAATGCTGAAATGTTCGAAATGCGTTACCTTTACGGTTTGGAGAATTTAGCAAAGACAACTTTTGAATCATTTTTTATTTTGCAATTATGGTTTGGTTTTGTTACTTGTTCTAACGTTAAAATAAATTTTGTTTAATTAGTAAAAAAAAATTTTTTTTTTAAATTGACCATGTTTTTAAACATAAAAGTTGATTTTTCTCTAAAACGGTCAACTTTAGAGCTTATGACCAAGAGTACCTTTTTTGTGTAGAAAACATTGGCAGGGGCGTAGAAGTTGAGGAGAAAAACACCCGCTACCCCTTCAAAATCTCCACCAATTATGAGTAAAAAAAATTTTTTTTCTGGCACAAAACATAGCTTATTTTGAGTAGAAAATGCTTACAAAAGCTGTTTTTTGTACGATAAACGGTTCCAGAGATATTCGAAAAAAACGATTTTTTTCTAAAATTTCAACACCCTGTATCTCGAAAATTGTGCATTTTAGAGGGTAAGTTAATAGCGACTTTTTTCATCTTTTTGGATGAGCTATCACATCCTGAAGTCCTGCGCATATATTATGAAACACCCTGTATATTTATTTAAAAATATTAAATAAACAATTTGACCTCTAAACCATAAGTTGTATGGCATTATTTCATAAAAAGTAAAATTGGAAAATTTTGTGGGATAAGTCAGATTAGATTGAAGTTGAAGATAGTTAGGATTATTATACATAAAAATGTTAATTCAGACAAATTATTAATAATTTGACAAATAACTATAAAAAAATATTTTGGGTTGTGTTTTTTACTTAGTATTTAATACTAAGTATAGGTACCTTTATACGTAGATTATGGTATATTTTACTATTATATAGGTACCTAACTGAACTGAATATGCTTAACAGAATGTTCCAGGAATATTCCTAAATGAACTTTCTATAGCAATTACTTTCTCAACATTCTAAGCATATGTTTAGAGTGGATTCATTTTTACCACTAAACTTTGCACCTTCTAAAAACCTGCCTATAGGCCAGTGAGAATATTCTTAGGATTATGCTATATTTCTTTTAAGCATGTTCTTTAGAAGAAATATAGCATGGTCCTAAGAATTTTCTCACTGGAAGGTTTAAAAAACATTCTTAGAACATGACTAGAAGAAATATAGCATGATCCTAAGAATATTCCCACTGGAAGGTTTAAAAAACATTCTTAGAATAAACTGTGCTATCATGGAAAATAATAATAAATACCAGTGGCGACTGGTGGATTTTGGGTATACCAATATCTCAGTGTGATTTTCGCGTTTAATGAGCCAAACTACTCAAGAAAATCATAGTGAGACGATGGGCAAAATGGCTGTAAACTAGTGTTATCAAACTTGGGTAAATCAAATAAGTTTTGTAAAGAAACTTTAGATGACATTACCTGTATATCATCACAAAGTACGGTACTACCCATCGATTTGGTGTCATCTAATTCATCATCATCATCAATCTTATCTATGCTTATACTATTTGCTATGGAATTATCCATATTTTTTTGAAAATAAAAATCATTTCCACATTCAAAAGCTGCATCTGTAAAACTTACAGGGCTTGGTAGAGCACTGCTAAACCTAAACAAAAATATATTAATGTTTGCTTTTATTTTGTGATTAATAGGTTTTTTCTCACCCTGAAATTAAGCTGTCATTATCATCATCATTTATATAATCAGCAATTTTGTTATTTCTTTTCTTGTTGCTCCTTTGGAAGCTTCTATTTCTAAAATAGTCCAACGCATTGCTATATTTATCCAAAACTAATTCATTTATTATCTGGGAATCATTGCTTTCGTTCAGGTCAACAAAAGGTTTTTTTCCTGGAGGATATTTTCTTTTTGGTTTCTGTATTTTTGGTTTTATCACCTCGGGTTTGTTATCATTTTCGAATGGCACATTCTCGTAAATATGTTTGTCATTTCTTGTACTTTTTTCGTAATTAAGTTCGTCTGCTGGTTTGGTTATCTCAAAATTCTTTCCATTTTTTGTCGAGGTTTCAATATTTTCCTTCTCGTCACTGTTTTTATTATTTATTCTACCCATTATTGATTCGGAAATTAATGCAGTTTCATCGTTCGTTAGGTCTGATATATTTGTGATTGAATCTTTAATTGGTGTTTTTTTAAGGTTTTTGGATTTTCTGCTTTTTGCAAGTATAATGTTTTGTAAGGTTGAGGTATACAGTGGTCCGATTTCCATTATGTCTAATTGTAAGGTGGGGCTTTCGTTTCTTAAAAGGTCTGACATTCTTACACTAGGAGCTGAAATAAAAAGGACTTTATTTAACTTTTCTTATGACAAGTTTTATTAGGAGTATTTAATAATTATTTTTAGGCTATGCTTCTTCATGCAGGCATCGAGATGGATGTGTCAATGTGTGCGTTTTGCATCAAATATAAAATGTTAGAACAAATTCGCACTGTGGGATATACAGGGTGTTATGTAATTAATGTTATATATTAAAATGGGTTGTTCCTTAGGGTCCATAAAGAAGCACCTGAAATTTTTTTTTCTAAATTCCAAAGACTAAAAATAATTTATAATAACCTTTATCCTACCAAGTGTGTAACCAGTGGCATATCACAAAAAATATAAAAAACTTCTAATGCATAATTTTCCTTTATCTTCGGAAAAATATTTTTTTAAATATTTTTCCGTTACTCCTTATGTCAAAAGGTATTCAGTATTTTAATATATAACATTAATTACATAACACCCTGTAGATACATTTAAAAAACGGTAGGACAAATTGGCAAAGTGGGATAAATTTAAAAATAGTGGTAAAAATTCGCAAAGTGGATTAAAATTAAAAAAATGTGGAAAAAATTTGCACAGTAGAAAATATAAAAAATGCTTGGACAAATTTTTAAAATTTGCAAAAATTTGCAAAATTTTCAAAATTTACTAAATACAAAATCTTTAGAATTTTAATAATTTTAATATGTATTTCCAAAATTTTCATATTTATTAAAATTTACAAAATTTTTAAAATTTGATATATTTTAAAAATTCGCACGGTTGTTTAAAATTGTGGGAAAAATTTGCACAGTGGAAAATATAAAAAATGGTTGGACAAAATTTGCACAGTAGTTTAAAATCAAAATATTGTGGAAAAAATTCGCACAGTAGAAAATTTAAAAAATTGTTGGACAAAATTTGCACAATGGTATAAATTTTAAAATAATGGAACAAGGTCGCACACTGGTTTAAAATCAAAAAATTGTGGGAAAATTCTCACACTAGAAAATATAAAAAATGGTTGAGGGTCATTCCACGTTACTCAGTAATTTTTGTCCCGCCCGTCACAATTAAAAATTGTGAGTAAAAACCACAAGTTATTAAATTATTATATTATAATATTATTTTTATTGTGCTAATAAGCTTATTACAAGCATTACAAACAATATTTTAAAATAAATTTAATAACGTGTGGTTTTTATTTACATTTTTTTATTGTGACGGGCGGGACAAAAATTACTGAGTAACATGAAATGCCCCTTGAACAAATTTTCAAAGTTTCAAAAACTTTTAATATTGCCAAAATTTGCAAAAATTCAATAAAATTTCAAAATTTACAAAACATTCAGAATTTTAATAATATTTTTTACATATTGCCAAAATTTGCAAAAATTAACAAAACTTTCAAAATCCTGAGAATTTTAATAACTCTCTTAAAATGAATTAGTCAAAAATGACTAATTGTTATAGCGAAAAAGCAGCCACTAATAATAATAGTCAAACAGCAATTTGTATCTCGGACATTTAGCAGTCAATTTATATGTACAATTGTCCGCTGAATCCGAAAATGTCGTCAAAAGTCGAACAGTTTTTTAAATATAGTCAATTTTCCATATAATATGGAATTGACTATATCTTAAAAACTGCTTTACTTTGTGTGGACTATTAGTGGCTGCATTTTTACTATGACAATTAGTAATTTTTGACTAATTCATTTTAAGAGGGGATATTTTTAAAAATTTCAAAAATTACTAAATCTAATCAAAACATTGTGGGAAAAATTTTCAAAATGTACAAAATCTTCAGGATTTTAATAATAATATTATGTTCAGTCGAACTTCGATAACTCGAAGTCTTGATAACTTGAAGTTAGTCATGGTTCGACTGTATTTCCAAAATTTACAAAAATTTTAAAATTTACAAAAACTTCAAAATTGCAAAAAAAATAAAATTTTCAAAATGGAAAACATTTTTAGTTTTTTAAAAATCTTTTTTTTTAATTTTAAAAATTTTTTTTTAATTACAGAAGTCTATGCTTTTGTCGTGGGTCTACTCACTTACACCTGCTTTTTTGATAATTAATATTTAATAAAATGGCCATACCATAATAATAATTTTATAATATCTAATATTTTATAATAACAATAATTAATAATAGAGTTTTAAAATTTCTTACCTTGACTGGCGCTTATCCTTTTTTTCACTGTTTCCTTTAACAACTGCTTCACAGAATTCACCCTATTATTCCTTCTGCCAGTTATCCACTGAAAATTTATAGAAAAAACGAAGTTATTATTATAGCAGCTCGCCAATAAAGCATTTCTGAATGAAACAAAATCGAATTTTTTCGCTTACATCAGCTAGGTTATTTGTCCATGAGTTCTCCATTATCTCTTAATTGTATTTGCAAAGATTGAATAGGTACAACAGTTAACAAATTTATCAGAACAAACAAATAAAACCATTCACCAGCGTTGTTTATGTGTTTAGTAGTTAATTTTACATGAAAGGTATTTAAATGGGTATGTGGCAGAGACGACGCGTCTGCACTTTGCAGTTCTTGCTTTACTTAATACTTAAAATATCGTTAAATTTTATTGTGGCTGGAGTAAAAAACCGTAAACAGTTTTTATGGCGGCCTGTTGGTTTTAATTAATTGCTTGTTTTTGTACAGGGCGTTGCACAACATTTCGGTACAATCAATTTTGTATAATATCTTAACGAAGAATGCGCCTTAAAATGGTGGTGCGCTTCGAAAATTTTTTGCAGTGTGTTAAACTGAAACAAAAGAAACATTATTATAAAATCATAAAATTTCAACTGAAATTAATATAAGAAAAAGTATAGTATATATACTATATTTTTTCTTATATTAATTTCAGTTGAAATTTTATGATTTTATAATACATTATAATGTTTCAATATATTGTATCAAGTTTGATAAAAAGCCATTTTAGTCACGAATTTAATTTAGGTTAATTAAATGAGCTCCATACTACTAGTTAATAAACGAGTTGCATACTTACTATACTTTTTCTACGACAAATACTTAATATTATCTAAAAATTATTTAAATTAAATATTTGTATGAAGCGACATCTATACGAAAATAAAGTAACCGTCCCAATAAACATTTTTGACGCAATTTTCACCATTAACATTGCCCGTTATTATTTTATTCGAATTTTACAATTATTGATGCTGAAAATATGTTATCCTTTGATTTTTTTATTACTATAGTAATAAAAAAATCAAAGGATAACATATTTTCAGCATCAATAATTGTAAAATTCGAATAAAATAATAACGGGCAATTATATATAATTGCAAAATATCACAAAGTATTAAAAATTCTTACACGGGAAATGTTAAGGGTACAAAAAGTGACAGTTGTATTTATTGGAATTCCCGTTATAATTTCTAACTTGGGAATTTAAAATTTATCCTTTGAAAATAAACAATAACAATCGATATACCTATGTTGAAGCAGTTTTTAAAGTAAAAGGGAAGAGAATGTTTTATGGGCACTGTACGCAAAATTTGTAACGCTTTATAAGTTCTACTACGGCAAAATCAAAAGGTCAATACAAACCTTCATGTAATCTTTTTAAATAGGCGTTAAGAAACTATTTAATATTTTTGTATTTTTGTATTGAGATAATCAAATAATTTTTACATTTAGTATTATTTTACAAGAAAGGTACCCCCAACCCCTGCTTAGGCCCCTGAAACAAATCTAAAAACTAAACTTTAAAATAAAAATACCTATTCGGAAATACCTAGATAATAATAAAATTTTAAAAAATTAATATAAAGAAAATATTTGTAAAATTATGAAATTGGCAAAAATATAAAATCTTTTTTAAGAAATCGTTTTTTAAAATCTTTTATAAGAAATACCTATTTCCTTAAAAAACATGATGGTTTCAAAATTTATTTAATAAAATATTTATTTGAAGATACATACAAAAATACCTTATTCAGCTTGCATGCAAAGAGCATTGGCCATGTTAAAAAAAAACAAAAAATTAAATTATCTTAAATAATAATTTAAAAAATGTAAATAAAGATAAAAATATTTAGAGCAGGTGATATAAAAAGACTACACAATTTAAAAATATAAATTATAATTAATAATTTAAAAGGAATTGAATTTAATTTAAAAATAATTTAATTTAATACCAAAACTATAAAATCTAGAAGAAGAAACACCCTTTTATTTTAGAAAACCTTCCAATTTTTTTAAACTGGATAATATTTTACTGTTCGGTTTTAATTTTACATTTGTTTTTTCAAATTTTTTAATAATAAATATTATTATTGATATATATATAATAATAAATATTATTATTGATATATCAACATTTACTTTATTTCTTTATATAAGTCAAGAATATAATATAATAGTATATTACAATTATGTATCAAGTTTGATAAACGCCATTTTATACACGATTTTAATTTAGGCACGAGCGAGTGCTTAAATTAATGAGTGTATAGAAAAGTTTATAAACGAGGTGCATACCTACTATACTTTTTCTACGACAAATACTTATTATTATCTTAAAATGATTTAAATAAAAAATTTGTATAGAGCGCCATCTATGAAACAATAGGGGAAACTGTGTGTCACCGTCAAATGTCACATTTTTATTTTATAAACGCAATTATAAATGTTATAAATCGAAATGTATTTCTTGAAAATTGACAGTTTTTCACAGTGAAAGTAAAGAAAATGTTTTATGAGGACTTTACAGTAGAGTCCGTGCCCGAATTTAAGTTATAGTTTACTGCCGGCGAAATTAAAAGGTCATATAAACTTTTCAAATATTGGCGTTGAGAAACTATTTAATACTTTTTTTATTTTTGTATTGAGATAATAAAATAATTTTCACATTTAGTATTATTTTTCAAGAAAGGCACTTTATTTTAACGATTGTATGACATATGTCATATTTGACAACTGTCAACTAACTTAAAACTAACTTCAGCCAGTGACTAAAAACCTGTTGCTAACTTCAGCCCGTGACTAAAGCGCCATAAAGCCACAACTTGTCAATGTGTATTTAAAAGGTCACTTAGTGTCATGGAAACATGTACGATAAAGGGTGTTTTAAAGGTGGGAGTAGAAAAAATTGTTTATACCTATTTAATATTTACATTGTTCATAGAAATTTACTTGTTTATATTTATTTATATATATATATATTTAATATTTACATTGTTCATAGAAATTTACTTATTTATATTTTTAACCAATAAAACGTATAAACATTTAAATATTTAAATTTCGCGCTGCCTCCTCCGATTGCTCGAACGACTATATGCAACCCAGTTAACGCGTAAAACCCCGCCTTTTAATAGGAAAGGCATGTTTGTTTGGGCCAATGGGAATAGCCGCATCACGCCGTTCACTTCTTTACAATCGTTCAAAGAAGTTGCATTTCGAGTGCATCGAGTTGTTTGTTTGAAAATGCTCGAACGGCCTGAATGATTGTAATTTTTAAATCGGGCGCCATATCAGTGTGGCAGTGTTTCTCGGGCAGTGAATGAAGGTACTAAATTCAGTTGTTTTATAAATAAACACCAATGTTTACAACGTCGTATTGTTTATAAATCGCTTATAAATAATCGCGTGTGAGAGTGCGTACCGGGTAAGTGATGTTTCAGTGCATTATACAACAGAGGAATGGTTGGATACATCCGTTAAACACAGAAAACAAAGACGTTTTTCCCGATATGAGGTTGCAACTGAACGAACAATTGAGATGCCTGGACGTGCGGATGGAGGCCCAAGTGGCCCTCTTGACCGAGCTGCAGGATTTCTTTCGCCGGAGAGGCGAACTTGAACTTGATTACTCGAAAAATTTGGACAAACTCGCTAAAAGCCTGCAGCTCAGGCACAAAGAGCAAAAACAAAAGCGCGAACAGTGGCCCCTCTTCTCCACCTACACTTGCTGGCAAGAGTTGGTGACACAAACGAAAAATCTCAGCAGGGATCACGCCGTTTTATCGGAAGTGTATTCGACGTTCTTGGTGTCTCGATTATCGCAGGTGATGGAGGATGTGCAGAGGATATACAAAAGGTGCAGGGAAATTGCTTACGAAACGCACGAGGAGATTCTCAGGGTGCTCCACGAACTGCACACCACGATGAAAACGTACCACAGCTATCAGGCGGAGTTGAGGCAGACCGAGACCAAATTAAAAACAGCTGAAATCCAGCGAACCAAGTTGGAGCAAACTCTGTCGCAGGACAAGCTGGAAAAATCCAAGAAATACAAATTAATGGAGAAAGAGGTACAGAAACGCACAAATAAGTACTCGGATGCCAAGCTGAAAGCCAGCAAGGCCCGTAACGAGTACATTTTATGCCTTGAAGCCTCCAACACCACAATACACAAATACTTTGTCGATGACTTGTCCGATATAATAGACTGCATGGATTTTGGCTTCCACAACTGCATATCTCGGGCCCTTTTAATGCATGTAACAGCCGAAGAGGGCAGGCAGAAATCCATACAGAACGGATTGACTACGTTGACAGCCTGTATTAACTCGTTGGATTCCAGGTTGGACAAGCAAAAGTTCCTCGAATACAATCACAGTGCTTTCATGATTCCCAAAAAGTTGGAGTTTCAGGATCAGAAAACCGAAGGTGGCCCTGAAACCCCCGAAATTCAGGGAATGTTGCATAGAGATATGGCGTGTAGGTTGACTCAGTTGGGGCAGAGGGTCACCACGCTTAGAACCGAGTCGGAGGAGGTGTGGAAAACGTTGGAAACCGCGGAAAATACTCTAATGGAGATGTTGAATGCTAAGGATTACGATTGCAGTAAGTACTTTGGGGATGGGGGCATACCGGCCAGCAAATCCCCCGAGACGGTTTCAATAAAGTTGAGGGCTGATAGACAGGAGACTGAGGAGTTTTATTTGGGTAAATCCAGGGAGTACCTTTTGGGTACGACTAGGATAGCGCGGTTGGAGGCTAAGCAGGAGTACTTGAGGAATATTTTGTTGGAAGAGGTGCCGAATTTTTGCACAACCGTTAAACCTGTCACGAAAACGCCCAAACGGAAGAGAATAGGTAGGTTGCAGATTAGTGGGCAGCCCAAGTTGTTTGGTGGTTCACTGGAGGAATATTTAGAGGCAACCAATCAAGAGATTCCGTTAATAATGAAATCCAGCATACGCGTAATAAATTTGTACGGGTTGCACCACCAGGGCATTTTCAGGGTGTCGGGTTCGCAGGTCGAGATAAACAATTTCCGCGAGTGGTTCGAGCGCGGGGAAGACCCGCTCGCCGACATGACGGACGCCTCTGACATTAACAGTGTTGCCGGCGTTCTGAAACTCTACCTGCGCGAACTTCGCGAGCCGCTGTTCCCGATCGTGTTCTTCGAGCAGTTCATGGAAATGGCGCAGTTGGAATGCAAGGACGAGTTTGTCGTTAGGATGAGAGGAATCGTTAAAAGTCTGCCCGCGCCCGTAATTGTGGTGCTGCGGTATTTGTTCGCGTTTTTGAATCATCTATCGGAGTTTTCCGACGAGAACATGATGGACCCGTACAACTTGGCCATCTGCTTCGGACCAACGCTCGTACCTGTGCCCGACGATAAGGACCAGGTGCAGTACCAAAACCTCGTCAACGAGCTCATCAAGAACATAATCATATTCAACGAAGACATATTCCCGAACGACGGCGGTTTGGTGTACGAGAAGTACATATCGCCGTGCGCCGACGACCAGGACGTGGGGGATTCCCCGTCGATGATACAAAACCCCGAGGACACCGAATCCGAGGTGTGCCCTTCTGAGGACGATTCGGACATCATAGAGGCCATGGTGCAGTACGATTTCACGGCCCGCTCGGCTCGGGAAGTCTCGCTCAAGAAAGGCGACGCAGTCATTTTGTACGCGCAAGTGTCGAACGACTGGTGGCGGGGGGCCGCGAACGGCCAGGACGGCCTGATACCGGACAAGTACATCTCGCTGAAAATGAAGGAGGACGAGAAGGACAAGTCTCTGTCGATTTTGAAGAGCTCGTCGGAGGAATCGGTGGTGAAGAGGAAGACCTCCGGCACGACCGACCCGTTGCTCGACGACGGTCATGTGACGCCGCCGCAGTCGGTCAGCGGCGCCAACAGCCCCAGAGTGCAGTGCACGTGGACCAAGGTGCCGGACATTCTCAAGACCATCGCCACGCCCGACAACAGCGCTTCCATCATTTTTAATCAGTCACGAGAGGTACTAGAAACTACTGTTTGATTATTCATTTTTATTGTTGAGTTGTTGTTTAGAGGTTGGGCCACCCTTAGTAAGAAACAAGTTTGTCTAAAAGTTAATTTTTAAACTATTTAGACAATTTTAAGATACGCATTTTAAAGAGTAGGAAAATATATATTTTGCGCCAAAACCAAGTTACAAAAACGTATAATGGAAAAAAATATTTTCTAAAAAGTCTTTTTGCTCTTTTGACAGTAATAGGTACTATAATTATCAGGAAATCTTAATTTTACTAGAAATAAAATAGCAAAAGTGAGTAAAAATTTAAAATGACTATTTTAAAACAATTCGCATAACTACTTTAAAATAAGTTTTAATTTTGCTCTTTAATTTTACATTTGACATTTTAAATGAGTCAAATTATTCAAATTATAATATTCCAAAAATAAATAAACTATTTACCTTAATATTAAAATATGTAAAAGTAAAAAAAAACAAGTAATTTCTAATTATTATATTTTTATCTCGTGTATTTAAAAAACGGGAACAAAGAGTTTAAAGTTTTTTACTCATTGCAATTTTATTAATAAAAGAGCTAAAGTAATTGGAAATTACCCTTTTAAAACAATTCGATAAACTAGATTTACAAAATATACAAATTTTACTTTTGCTCTTTAATTTAACATTTGAAATTTTAAATGAGTTAAATTATAATGTTCCAAAAATAAATAAACTATTTACCTTAATATTAAAATATGTAAAAGTAAAAAAAAACAAGTAATTTCTAATTATTATATTTTTATCTCGTGTATTTAAAAAACGGGAACAAAGAGTTTAAAGTTTTAAAGTTTTTTACTCATTGCAATTTTATTAATCAAAGAGCTAAAGTAATTGAAAATTGGAAATTACCCTTTTAAAACAATTCGATAAACTAGATTTACAAAATATACAAATTTTACTTTTGCTCTTTAATTTAACATTTGAAATTTTATATGAGTTAAATTATAATATTCCAAAAATAAATAAACTATTTACCTTAATATTAAAATATGTAAAAGTAAAAAAAAACAAGTAATTTCTAATTATTATATTTTTATCTCGTGTATTTAAAAAACGGGAACAAAGAGTTTAAAGTTTTAAAGTTTTTTACTCATTGGAATTTTTTTAATCAAAGAGCTAAAGTAATTGAAAATTGGAAATTACCCTTTTAAAACAATTCGATAAACTAGATTTACAAAATATACAAATTTTAATTTTGCTCTTTAATTTAACATTTGAAATTTTATATGAGTTAAATTATAATATTCGACAAATAAATAAAGTTTTTCTACAAAACAAAACATGTTAAAATAATAAAAAACACGTAATTCTTAATAAATGAATAATTTTACTAGAAATAAAAGAGCAAAAGTAAGAAAAAATTTAAAATAACTCTTTAAACAATTGGCAAAAGCTAGATTTTCAAAAAAATTTGGTCTTGTACAGGTCTAACATTTTGTACAGGTCTTTAACATTTTTTTAAGTGTCCCAAAAAATGCTGTGGTTATGTCGGTACTAAAAAATACTTTTTTTCTACACTTAAAGAAAATTGGAAAATTTATCAGTATACAGAGAAAAACAAAAAGTTTATTTTTGTTCAATGGATCACCCTATATACACCTATATGTATTTATTTTTCGATTCCTTAAAAAATTCTAAGCATATTTCACATAACATACCATATACCTAAATTCAACTGTTTCTGAAATATTTAAATTATTTTTAAGATAATAAGTTGAAATAGTTTGTCTTTCTCTATCTGAGTACGCCATTTTTACTTGAACTTAACAAGATATATTGACATAATGTCACTACCTATAGTAATTTATTTTTAATAACATTTTTGTTATACTGAGGCTTCTTGATTTTTAACAGTTTAAAAAAACATTTAATGATAACATTTCGAATGCGAATATTTCAGAAACGGTTGAATTTATGTTTATGGTTTGTTATATGAATTATGCTCAGAATTTTACAAGGAATCGAAAAATAAATTCCTATATAGGGTGATCCATCAAAAAACAACTTTTTGTTTTTCCTATATTGATCAATTTTCCATTTTTTTATACCTAGAGAAAAAGTATTTTTAGGACACACAATGAAAAAGTAAAAGGGGGCGACAATTTAGGGGATCACCCTGTACCTATATTTCAAAAACAGGAACTGGAGTTAAAATCTTATTTTTGCTCTTTAATTTTAAATGAGTTAAACTATAATATCGAGAAGAAATAAATCAAGTTTTCCTAAATGTTTTTTTAATTAAATTATGTAGGTAAAAGTATTTTTTTATTATAGTTTTTTACTCCTTAAAATGTTGAATTTACGAGAAATAAATGGGGGAGTGAGTGAGTGAGTGAACATTTGAAATTACCCTTTTAAAACAATTGGCTCGACAATTGGCAATAACTAGATTTACAAAAAATGGATATATTTTAAAAAGTTACTTTACTTTTGCTCTTTACTTAATTTTACATTTGACATTTTAAATGAGTAAAATTATAATACCTATTTACGTAATAATAAAAAACTTCAATTATAAGTATAGCGTTTAACTTCTTAAAACGATAAATGTACTGGAAATCAAAGAGCAAAAGTGAGTAAAAATTTAAAGTGAATCTTTTAAAACAGTTGGCAAGCAGGCTGTTTCTCATTCTTGATGCATTAGAATTTTCTGGGGAGCGAAAGAAATTTTAAAAGCGTTTAAATATATTTTTTAAATATTTTGAACAAATTTGTTATTTCAAATAGAATACCTACCCCATATATTTTTAAATACAATTCTGAGTAAAATTACTATACCATGTCGTATACTTAAAGTGAATAGTTTTTGTTATTAGGATTGCAAATACGGGGGTGGAATTTTTCGGAATCTTAAAACATTATTTAAAATATTCTTTGTCAATTCTTTAACATTTTTCAACAAATTACCTAAGAAAACCCAGGGCAAATTAGACTAACTTAAAAGTAAAAAACTTTCTTATTTTAAATGTAACACCCAGTATGTTTTAACATAATCATATAGTATTATATACTATACTTAAAGATCATAATGTAAGAGATATTTAACAATTTTTAAAATTTTAAATAATATTTTTTATCAAGAAACCTGTGGCGAGATAAAACATTGACGCCATTAAATTTTGAACAATGACAGATTACGTGGTAACCATAGATACCGTCAACTTACCCGTTACAGGTTTCTTGATACAAAATAATATTTAAATTTTTAGAAATTGTTAAATATCTCCGAAATTATTAACTTTAAGTGTATGGATTGGTTAAATCAATCGACAGGTTTTTTAATTTACCATTTGATTATGTAAAAACATACTGGGTGTTACATTTCAAATAAAAAAGTTATTAACCTTTCAATTTGCCCTGGTTTTTATCAGGCAATTTGTTGAAAAATGATAAAGAATTGACATGGAATCTTTTAAACAATGTTTTAAGATTCTAAAAATTTAGCTGCCATATCCGCAAACCTAATAACAAAAAAGATATGGGCTACTTGTGAAATATTAACAAAAAAAAATTAATAAACTATTCACTTTAGGTATAGGACATGGTATAGTAATTTTACTCACAATTGTATACAGAATTTAAAAATGGTGTTCTAGGTATTTAAAATAACAAAGTTGATGTTACTTCCGGTTACACTGGAAGTAGCATTTTGTTTAAAATATTTTAGAAAAATTGTCTTAAATGGATTATAAAGGCTTTTAAAATTTCAAATTGATACACTTTTGTTCATTAATTTTGATTGACATTTTAAATGAGTTAACCACAATATTCAATTCAATTCAATTTAATATTTTTTAATAGACTCTTAAATATTTTCGTCAAAATGTAAATTTTGAAACGATTTTTTTTTAAAAAGAAGTAGGAGTCAATTTTTTTGCACAGATAAAAAATGTTCCCTGCAATATTTTTTTACTCTACAAAATGCGACATATTTCATTAAGAAGATCTAAATCTCGAAATTCTTAAGGGTGGCCTAACCCGTTTAGGTGACGGCTGTGTTGCAAGTTATTTTAGTTTTTTAACCTAATTTTGCTATGCGTTATCTAATTTTGATTTAGATTGTACAAACGGCAAAACGGTCAATTCTGTTAGAAAGCGTCGATTTGCGAAAATATACAATCGGTTTCGTGTATATTTTTTCAAAGAACTATTTTTAATTTACCTCTCAATTTTCGCTGGCCGATGTTTTATTTCTGTCAGGTAATATTTTCATCAATTTATGAAAAGCAATCGTTTTAAGTTTTCACTTAAAAAAATAATTTATTTTATAATTTACTGCGGCAAAAAAGTTTAATCACCGTCTGCACGGGATATAAATAGTTTCAAGGGAACAGTGGCGTATCTAGGGAGGAAGTTTCCCCTTCTCAGAACAAAGTCTTAAATAAAATTGTAATGATTACAAATAATATTATATATTTTGAAAAATCTGACAATAAAGATACTAGAACAGTTATGTGATATTATAAACGAATTATTGATACGCCACTGGTTTTAAGGAAATGCCGATAAAATCGCCACCCCCCCGGTCTACAAGTAAAGCGTTGAGACGCCCAAAAATTATGTATCTTTGTTGGAACTAAACTGCATATAGCATGGCATTGCATGGATATTCCCATAAAATGAGTCACGCTTTTATTTACCCTCTTTATTAGTATGTGCGGGGGCAATGCCGAAGACGTCTGGCTATTTTTACACGTGTCGGTTTGTTGTTTTTATTTGGGGAATATGGTGAAAGATAAATATAAGTTCTTCGAGACTAAATATTAAACCGAAAGATCCAGACGAGATTTATCTTGAAAGGAAACCCTTTATTATTTTTGGGGACTAGATTAAATCTACACCAACTATTATTTCCTACGTTAAAAGAATAAATAAAAATATTTGTAATAAAAAGAAGCCAAATTTAGTTTAGATTGTCATACGACAAAAACTATTTTAAGTAGTTTTTAAAAACTATATAT